TGACCGTCACAGGCCGGTGAGGTGGGGGTGCCTGGGGGTGTGAGCTGGTGAGGTGCCGTCAGGCGCATGTGAGGTGGCATTGGGCATGCACGGCAGTGGCTCGCTCACTCAGAGATCTCTCAGCAAGTCCAAAACCATCTCCGAGCAAGCAAGACACCACCTCCTGGCTCACGCTGGAAGGCAGTGGCGAGCGCGCACATATGGGAGGCAGGTGGCGGCCGCTTGCTCGATTGGAGACCATCTCTGAGTGAGGAAGCCACCACCTCCCCGCCCATGCAGCAAGCATGTGCACGGGTGGCGAACGGTGGCATGGGCCGGATGAATGGCCATGGCAGGCCAGATCTGTCCTATGGGCCATAGTTTGAGGCCCCATGCTCTAACAGAACACCTCCTCTGTCTTGACTTTGGAGATGAAGTAATTCTCACTTGCCTTGGATTCCCAACTGGTTGTGAAGCCCCACTGTGTATAGATACCCTGATCCTGGCATTCTGCCTGTCATAGCCACCACCCATGTCCCAGCACTTACACTATCATCTCCAGAGCTCTGCAAAGAAAGAAAGAAAAAGATCTTCTTTATGCAAATCACAGGACCTTTTTTGTTTTGTTTTGTTTTCAAAACATGGCCACATTTTTGTTAGGACCTAATGTTGTGAGTCAGAAGGTCAGTTGCTCTTGGCACATGTTCTCAAAATGTACTGATTGGATCTTTGAGGAGTGGGGAGATTTGCAATCTTGGCCTATTCCAGTTTTTAGATGAGAAAAGTGGATGAACTTATGTCAAGTCCAGATTACCCAGGTGCTCAGGCAACCTCTGGGAATAATCAAGATGTATAGCTATCAGGAGAAGGCTTGGAACAGGGGACTTTCTCAGAGAAAGGGAAAGCAGGTACAGCTCTTGATCCTATAATATCCCAGAGGAGGGTTGCCCAGTTAGAGGATCAGCGGATAGAGAAGAGGCATCCTCATTTCCAAAAGGTCCCTCCCAAAAGGATGGGACCCACACATACTGATAAAGAGAATTCTGTAGAAGTAAACTCTAGATTTGGTTCAACAAACTAGTCTGTGCTTGTTCAAGCAATCATTGTGGATTATTGTTTTTCTAGGAAATGCTTTGATCAATAAAGAGCTGGCTTGAATATGTGAAGGGAGCAAACCTAGCTCATTATATCTAGGTGGGGGAAGCACAACAAAAGACTCAGATTTCCAATATCTGGGGTGGTGGGGGGGAATCTGCTACAGTCCTCCACCACCACCTATCAGAATGGAAATTTGGTCATGTTTACATGGAGTGGAATTCCCAGCCTTGTGCATCCCTAAGTGCATGAGAAATTAACACAAAGAGCAATATATTTACAATAAAATATTAAAAGGCTGTTTGTTGGAGTAACTGCTTGCAAATAAGTATATACATCCAACAAAATTATGTACAGATATGCATGTATTAGGAAAATGTGCACAAAAATACATACAGTTTTTATTGTCAAAGTACAGAGCAGATTTAAGATTGAGAAAATAAGACACAACTCTATGCATGTTTAGATTACCACCTCCAAAAGCCTTGCAACTTCCAGCATGACAGAAATTGCATTTTTTGCTGTCTAAACATGCATAGGATGATGCCCAAGAAACTATGACCTATTCATCCATCCCTATGACAGGAAAACACCAAACTGTTTTCCACTAAAATACAGCCTTGGGAGACCCTGCTTTGAGAAAAGTATTCAAACACAGGCTGAACAAGCCATATGTCATGGATGTTGTGGTTGTATCCTGCACTGAGCAAGAGGCAGTTCTGGGAACCTCCCTGGTCCCTTCCAACTCTCTCATTCTAAGCCACATCAGATTAGTATCCTTTACAGGGTGATAATCATCCTTAGCAGGTTGATGCATTAATAATGCAGCTTGTTTCAGAAAATAGGAGTGAATAGGATACTGAAAGCCAGTTGTGTTTATACAATTCAAATAGTATCTGCTTTCAGGTTTGCTTATTTCAAAGACCTATTGTGTATTCTACAGGAGAAAGTATCTATGAATAATGCAATTTCTTGTGCATGATTAATAATGGGTTTATTGCTCAGGCACTCCGTACATGCTATTTGATATCCCATCAGCCTTATTTTCCTAAGGAAAACAAGTGCTGTCAAAACCTGACATGTTTATTATTGCAAAGCCAAGCCAAGCTGGTTATCTGAATGGGTTAGTTCTTTGTTGTTACAATTGTCTATCAAGACTTATACACAAAGAAACATGCACACACACAAAGCAGCAGTAACCAAGCTCACAAGATGGAATTTGGAAAACTTCAGAGAACCAGAGCTCTGATTTGCATACCCTTATTCTATAGAGTTTGAAGATATTTAGTTCCTTAAGTCTGCTTTAGTTTCTGAAAAGATTTACTAGTAATACAGAAGATAGCCCAAAGAAGTATATATTAATATGTAATTTGCATTAATTATGATATGTCTTTTTAGAGCTTATTTAACTGAAGGAATAATCATGCCACATCATTTTCCTTTTATATAGTTTCATTTATTTTGGTTAAATTCACATGAAAAGTAATTAAAATAATTACACTGCAGCCCTATTAATCTTTAATCAGAAGTAGGTTTCATTGAGTTAAATGTGGCTGTCTCCTAGGTTAGTATGTATTGCATTAGAGACTAATAGTGTCTCCTATCCATGTCTGGTCAAGTCCTTGATTTCAAAACTGAAAGTGACATCTACTTAAATTTAGACTTCACTGGACACATGTGACTTACTGAGAAGCAGACATGTCCTTGATTGCACTGTAAATGTATGGGATAAGTGCATATTAGAGCCATTAAGATTTCATGGTTCTGGGCTGCTTTCAGTGTCCATGAAACCTGGAGAAAAAATGGTGGCAGATACATTCTTTCACTTCACATTCTTCATGTTATTCATATACTATGACTGCTATTAGCCACAGCCAAGAATATGTGCCATGGGCATGAAGTTACTTCATGTGACGGGGCCATCACCACTCAAAGTAAGAAGAATTTCAGTAATTATATGGAATTCATTGAATTCTGCTCTTTAATAAAACACTGAAAAGAAAACAATGAACATTTATACTCTCTGTCTCTACCATCACACAAACCTACATCCACTTATTAAATGAAAGTAGATCAGCTCAGTGGATTCACTTCATTAGATGAAGTATTACACATATGCTCCTTTAAGTAAACAAACAAGAAAGCACATCATTTTGAGTGGTATGATCTGACCTCATTTACATTTCCAAAGCAGAGAATGGTATTTTAAAATATTAAAATAACCAAATAAATTATATTTAATACCTAAATTTTAAAAAAGAAAGAAAAAAGCATCAGGGAAAATAAAACCTAACAAGCTAGATCTTATCCCACCTGCAAGGTAAAAGTCTTAAAGCCCATGTATATAAGCAAAGCACTCAGATTCTTAGACAGTACTGGGTGCCATAACTTTGGGGCTACAATGGATAGTATGTTAACTATTATTAGACCACAGTTGTCCCCTCCATTGACATACATAAGGAAGACTTGCTCGTCTCTCAAGGAAAGAGTTAAGGTCATTCTATTCCATTTTGGTTCCCTAAACATTTATCAGGGAATTGTTGTAATTCCATCATATTCCTTTTGCACATCTTTCACTACATAATTTTCTGGATTCATGCCCAAAGCATATTTCAAAACTATTTGGCATGCCTTTTTGCATAGTTGTTTGTGTCTCCATAGTTTGTAGCAACTTACAAAATAGCATGTCTCAATTTTGGTATATCACATAGCAAACTGGCTGACCATTTTAAGGATGTATGGCATCACTAGACTCTGGGGGATCACTCCACAGTATTATGAAGTAAACAGTTAATATAATGTCAAAAGATGACAGACTATCAAGAAATCAGGGAACAGATCACCCAGTTCAAGCACCTAATGAAAATAAACAGGTTACCCAAAATCAGTTCAAAAAAAATGGAACCTTTAGGAGTGATAGCAAAAGGGCACAAGCTAATCTCCAAATATAAGAACAACCTTGTCTTATCCGGGATTGAACCAATCAAATCAACTATGTATTTGGCTAGAAGCATATTTCATTTCCATTTTCTGAACTTAGATATGAAACACTCTTATCTGGTGTTTTTCACATTTCTAACACCCATATTACCGTTAATTTGGAAAGCCACACCAGGAGTCCAAAAATTTATTAATGCAGCTTTCCTAGCAGGATTCCATCCAGATATTTTGGATTTCATATTCATATCCCTTCAGCCACAGCCAGCATGGTCAATGGTCAGAAATTCATGAGTTTTAGCCTAAAAAATCTGGAAAGTGCCATGTTGGAGTAGACCATAGTAGCCCTGGTGCATCAAGGTGAAATTCACAGAGTTAAAGCAAAAACATTACATCAGGGTTCCCAACTCGGGGGTCTGCACCCCTAGAGGGTGTGAGATAGGACTTCGGGGAGTGCAAAAGAGAGTAATGCTGTGTTGCAATTTGCCAAAATTAAGTTTTTCACAAAAATTATGCCAATAATAAAATTATTTATTGTTTAATAATTTGGATTTGCATTTGCATTTAGTTCTCTTTTGTCAATCAAGACAAAGCCTAGGAATCACCTGAATCCATAGGCAGACTTGCTGATTGCAATCAGCAAGGAAGTTCCATGTTTTGACAAAATTGTGAATGGAAAACAGGAAGAATGAAGTAATTGAATTTTATGTTCACAATTGGGATTGATTTTACTGTCTATATTTTTTTCTACTTGCTCAATTTATATGTTATGCACTGAGTTAAAAGCTTATTTTTTGAGTTCAATTTGTTCACCTGCAGTACAGTATGTGGTTTAATTTCTTGTTCAAAAATTAGCAAGTTGAGTTCTTCATCTTCAAATATGATACTACTTTTGTAGGGGGTGCAAACATAAATCAAACATTTTCTAGGGGTACAGGGCATAGGAAACATTAGGAACCAATGCCAAGATCAACAAGAAAAGGTCTTACCTTGGTAAGGTGATGTCAAAACAGGTATTCTGATGGGTGATAATGTCAGTACATGGCATGGCTGAACACTTGTTGATGGAAGGCTGTTGGCATCAACTGAATATAAGGCTGCTGCTAATACAATAGCCTGGTTACTGTTAGCTTGTTTAAGGCAACCACCTAGGGAAGAATCAAGTATGGGTTTCATTATTTCTAGTGAACATTTGGACATGTGACTGAAATGTTCTTCCCTTAAGCATGACCTGGAGTCATTAAAAATAAACAAAAATGAAAGCATCTCTCTGTGTTTTTTAATTCTGCAATGGTACAAATGAGGGATTGTTTCTAACCTCCATTTGATTGACATGGCCAAGATACTCCACTATTATGCCTCATAGAATCTAGTTTTGAATTAAGTACCATGTGTTGCCATTTTATCCATCAATGACTAAAGTAAGTAGTGAACTCATATCATACGATTATGAGTACTCTGCCATAATCCTGTAGCTCAAGGACATCTCATGAAGTTAACTGATGTCAGATAAAAGGGGGGGAAAACTTCTTCACACTGTGCAGTTAATATGGAATTCACTTCCAAAGATGTAGTGATGGCCACCAATCTTGACAGCTTTAAAAGAAGTTGGGGAAATTAAAGGAGGATAAGATACTGATGACTGTATGTTGCCTCTAATAGACTGGTCTACAAATTTGGGGAAATAATTGATCTCCAAGATAAAATGTGCTAATTCTTGCATATTTTGATTAGATGAATTAGAAAACAAGTCATAAAGGTGCTGGTTGGCTAAAAGCTTTCAAGATATTTCACAATAAAGATTTATAAACAAGCAAGTATATTTGCCTACAAGGGGGGGAGGTGTCTTATGATTTACAATTTTGCACAAACACTCCCTTTTAACTTATTTTCTTTCTTTGGGAGGACTGATTTCAAAACCTTTATCTGAGCCTGAAGCTCCTCCACCTCCTTTTGTTTTTATTCAACTTCAGTCAGGAGATTCCTCATCTCCCCCTCACGTTTAAGTGCACTAATAAGATGCCCTCCCTGCATTAAATGTTGTCATGCCACAACCTTTTCCTTTTCCATTCTCTCATGTACAATGCCTTTATGTTGTTGTTTTTTATTTCCTCCCTTGCTTGCTTAAGGTAGTGCTGTGTCAGCTGTAACATGGAAGACATTAGAACAATCACCACACTTTTTTGGACATCAGGATTAAAAATTTGACCATCCTGAATTGATGTGCCAGATCCTTTGTACAAAACTTCTGGCATGAGTACATTTTTCTCAACTGACTGTTCCTCAATACACGTTTTTCATTTTTCTAGGGCAGCCTCCACTCTTGCTGTCAGAGTGCTGTGCTGTTTGTTTTTCAAAATTCAGTCTATTTCGTCCATGGACAAATCATCAGCTAATTTTCCTTTAAAATCCTTAGCCTGTTCAGGACTTACCAAGAAGGGATTTTCATGCACCATGACCTTCTTGGGTTTACCCATTTTCCCTGGGGTGTTCCATGCTCCAAACCAAGCCATCGCTAGGCTATTATGGGCAATCCTTGCCCAAAATTTGCAAGACCCCCACTGCACTGTCCTTCCCACTAGGTCTAATATAGGACCCCCATGGTAATGTAGGACCCCCCTGGCTGGGCCTGATATGCTCTTTGATTCCCACAATTCTGTGGTCTGGACTTCTATCTGTTTTCATTTGTCTTAACATTCAACTCCAGTCCAACACAACTCTCAAATTAAGAAGCACCCTAGAATCCTGCCAACTATGTCAATTATGTCACAAATGGATCTTTCATTCTTTTAATACTGAGTGGTGCTCATCACCCTGATTGCTAGGAAAGTGGAGATAGAAGTAGACACACAGGCAGCCAGTATTGGATTTGCAAATTAAGAGCTCTTTTATTTATTACAGTCTAAGGGAGAATCACTCTCACTCACTCACACTAATATTCATCCTTTCATATTTACCAGGAGAACCCTACTTTGAGTTGATCAATCTCAAATGGAGTGATGGGTGACCAAAGGTTGCAGTGCTGACAAGTCTGGCACACCAAAATTTGCAGAGCCCCTCCTTTTTATACCTTATCTGACTGCTTTGTTCAAACTCTTTGTTCTTTAGGATAGAGCAAACTGCCCAGTCTCATCTGGTTCATTGTTTCACTTGAACTTCCTCCGGAATGCTCTTATCACTTGCTTTCCTCATAAGGTGTCCTTGGGACTATCTTATTGTGACCTTACACTCTGTGAGCATTTCTCTGCTTTTCATCCAGGAACTCAGAGTCCATTTTGTTCCTATCATGCTCCTTACCATCCTTCAGGTTTTCCCAGTTTCTTCACCTAAAATAGGCCCATACATTCATCCATTTACTCATCATACAGCTTTGGAAAGGTTGAAAACCATTGCCTTAAAGCCACTTCACAGATGACACTTTTAAGATACATTGAAAATTTAAAAGTGTGAATGTGATGATGATATATTTGGAAAGCAGGGATTATTCATGCAGGAGAGTTGCTAAAATGGTGTGATTGACTGCAGCTCCTGCTATACTCAACAGCAAATGAGTGTGCTGTCACAGAGGTTCTACCTTGGAAGAAAAGAAGATACGGTGGTAATTGTAACCCTTACGGAAGAAGTCTTGTTGGAATGAAAAAGAATAAACCTTTCCCTTTATAACTTTCACCTCTACAAAAGTGATTTAGAGAGAGAACTTGATGCTTAATCATGGCTGAGAATGCTAAATAAACAAAGATTTTAAGGAAAGTTAATTTGACAGAAAACAGCTGTTACCCCTCTTTGCACAGATCTGTGTATTCAAAAATCAAGCAATCATTAGCTTATTATGTCAATTAGCAAACAGTTTCAGTTCAGACAAAAATCCTTCAGGCATTAAAAGGCAACAAGTATTTCTGCTTAAGAGCACTGGTTGATCTAAATCATGACTTTAGGCATTTCAGTGCAACAATGTGTGTCAGTGCAACAATGTGTGGTACCCACTTCTTTCTCTCATTGCTCATGTGATCATTAGGCGATGCACACTAAGTCAGCTGCTATGGGTTAAAAGTTTGCTACTGAACTGTCCTAAATACCACATTATGTGGTAACATTTTCCTTTTTAAAAAATAAATGCTTAATAATGACCAAGGCAGTTTCTGTTCCAAATTCAAGTCTGAATCCCAGTTGAAATGGATCAAGACAGTCTGTTTCATCCAAGAGAATCTGGATTTGGCCAGCCACCACATGCTTGAACACCTTGTCCAGGAAGGAGATATTAGTGACTGGTCTATAATTGTTCATGTCCCCTGGGTCCAAATGGACCTTTTTCAGGAGTGGTCCAATGACAGCATCTTTCAATGAGGCCAGCACCACTCTCTCTCTTAGTGAGGCATTCACAGCCTCCAGGACCCAGGGGTGCACCTGCTCTGTACTTGGCATGACCAGCCACAATGGCCAAGGGCAAAGAATACAGTTAGTAGACCGAACCAATCCAAGCACCTTATCCACATCCTCAGGCCTTGACAACTGAAACTCATCCAATAAACTTGGACCAGATAGTGCACTGGACACCTCAGCCAAAGGAACTGCATCAACCATGGAATCCAACTCGATCCAAGCTATTTTACCTTCAAAGTGCTGTGCAAATTCCTCACAGCAGGCCAATGAGGGTTCTACCATTTCTTTCACAGTGCTGGTTTGTAACAGTCCCTTCTACCATTCAGAACAACTCCAGTGGACAGCACTGAGAGGATGCAGTGGAGGTGGAAAAATAGGCTTTCTTTACCATCTTCACTAACACAGCATAGGTTCAATAATGAGATCTAAGTCATGTTAGGTTGGATTCATCACAAGTTTTTCTCTATTTGTGCTCCATCCATCTTTCTACCTGTTTCATTGATCTCAGCTCCAATGTATACCATGAGTCTGTACAGGCTCCATGTAAAGGAAGAGGATACATGGGTGTGATCATGTCAACTACCTGAGCCAGCTCCATCTTCCACAGTGTGACCTGGGCTTCAACAGGAGCACCAGCCATATCAACCAGAAACACCCCCAGAGCCCTCTGAAAACCATCTGGATCCATCAGCCTCCAGGGGTGGACCATTCTAATAGATCCCCCACCCTTGCAGAGGGGAAAGGGGGCCAAAAGCCTAAATTTCCAAAGGAAGTGATCTGACTGTGACAAAGGGATTGATCTCAGTCCCTCCACTTTCAGATCATAAACCTGTCTGGTTGAGAAAATCAGATCTAGAGTGTGACCTTTATGAGTTGGGCTGGTGACATGTTGAAAGAGCTCCATGCTTTTCATGGTGGCCATGAAGTCCTGAGCTGCCTTGGATAAAATGCCCTCAGCATGGAAGTTGAGGTCCCCCAGAACCAACATTCTGGGGGTTCTCAGCACCAGGTCTGAGAGCATTACCATCAGCTCAGGCTATGCAGCTTGGTGGGTGGTACAACAGCAAAATGTCTAATCTGTCTCATGAGCCAACAAAAGATATAAACACCTCAAGACCTGAAATTTTGAAGAATGATTTCAAAAGTATTTGGACTTTGTTTATTGAACATGTATTAGTAAAAGGGGAGGTTACTAAACCTCCAATGGATGTATAGCAATTTTGGATGGAAGGGGAATTTCTGAAAGAGGAAAAATTAAAGAAAAATAATACGACAGCCATAGTCCTAGTGGAAGAATTCACTAAGAGTGATTTTCTTTTTTAACATTTTCTTTTGTGCATTTTGTGTTCTTCCCCTTTATTACATGATTTTTTTTGTATTTATATTGGTACTTTCTTTAAAAAAATAAAATTAAAATTAAAAAGCAAAGTTGCCAAGTAATGAACCTATATGCATAATATGTGCCCTGCCACTTAGCAAAATATATACCCTTCATCATGGCCTCTTAACAGGCAACAGCAACAATGTCTCCTCCACCCAGCCAGCCACCACAGCTTTGGCTGGAGGACAGTTTGCAAAAAGACAGAGTAACTCAGCTCAGCATGTGTCCTGACACTGAGCCATGATATATTACTCACTGTATGCAGCACAGGATTAACTAGCCTCCCCTTGTTGTTGTTAGTCACGAAGTCATGTCCGACCCATCACAATCCCATCGACAACATTCCTCCAGGCCCTCTTGTCTTCCACTATCCCCCACTCAAGCTCA